GAGAAATAACCCAACGTCCACCGAAGGATGAACGGAGAAACAAACTGTGCCCTGTCCATAAAATGGAATGTTATTCAGCCACAAAAAGGAACGAAGCGCTGATACACATTACAACCCGGATGAACCTCACTTATGCTGAGGGCAAGGGCCCAGACACAAGGACCACGCACTGTGGGACTCCATTTACATGAAATGCCCGGTAGAGGCTAAGTCTGGCCAGATTGGGGATTGCCAGGGGCAGGGGAGAGGAGGAGGGAACCGGCAGGGACTGCTAATGGGTGTGGGGTTTTATTTGGTGCCCATGAAAATGTTTTGGAACTAAGTAGGTGATGGTTAAAAAACATTGCAAATGCACTAAAAGCCACTGAATTGTATACTTTAATATCTGGTGGATTTTTGATAGGAAGAGAGGAAAGAAAAAGAAGGAATTAAAGAAAGGGAGGGAGGAAAGAGAAAAGAAAAGAGAAAGAAAGAAAGAAAGAGGAAGAGAAAGAGGAAGGGAGGGAGGGAAAGGGGAAGAGAGAAGGCAGAAAGAAGCCACCGGAAGTGCTGGCAGGGCAGTGCTAAGCCCACGGTTCCCTCTCCCGGGCAGGGTCGTGTTTTCTACCCTGATTGTACAATGCCTCAAATCCAGCAGGAGTCAAGCAAAGAGAAACAACGTGAAGCCCACAGATGTATCAACCAGAGGCTTCCAAATCTCACCCGACACACTTGGCACTGTGACCCACAACACATACACATCTCCACGTCCAAGTTTCATAAGCAATGCTCAGCTCCACTGCCGGTGATACGTTGTGATTTTGGACACATCCGTTGAGTTGATTTTGCTCATCTGGGCAACTGTGGACAAAATCGTTCAGCATACACTGCAGGACTCGGAGCTTTGAGAGTGCGTCCCTGCGTGCTCACACACATCCAGACACCGGAACACGACCTAGCACTGAAAACACACTGTCCAGCCACGAACAGACATGGAGGAACCGCAAATGCACGTCACTAAGTCAAAGAAGCCAATCTGAAAAGGCTACGTACTGTGGGATTCCGACTATACAATATTCTGGAAAAGGCAAAACCGTGGAGAGTAAAGAGTAAGTGGTTGCCAGGGGTTGGGGGTGGGACAGGAGGGATGGACAGGCAGAGATCGGGGTTTTGGGGGGGGTGTGAAACCATTGTGTGTGATACCGTAATAGTGGCTATATGTCATATACCCTTGTCCAAACCCATAGAATGTGCAACCCATAGAGCGAACCCTAATGAAAACAATGAATGAAAACCATAATGAAACCCTAATGGAACCATGGATTTGGGGTAGTAATGATGTGTCAATGTAGGCGCATGAATTGTAATCAATGTGCAACTCTGGTGGGGGGGTGATGATAGTGCATGCATGAGGCAGGGGGTACGTAGGAAATAATCTTATGTAAAAGGAAAAGAAAGTATTTAAATGGGAGAACATATTCCTAATGCTGCAGAGAGCAGCGCGAGGTGGTTAAATGCACTAAACCGTACACTTGCCTGTGAACTGTTGTCTTGTTTTTCATTTTAACCTCTCTGAGCCTCAGAATCTTGTTTCTTTGACATTCTTAAATTAAAAAGAGAAAAACAACCCCAAACTACTCCTGGTCTCTCTTTCCTGCCCTTGCTACTTCCGATTCACTCCTGTGCCTGTTAAAACCAGACAAATTGTAAACATTTGAGGCACAAAGCCAAGAGATAACTTTAATAAGGATCCAAAATGCAAATCTGGCCGGGCGCGGTGGCTCACGCCCGTAATCCTAGCACTCTGGGAGGCCGAGGCGGGGGATTGCTCGAGGTCGGGAGTTAAAAACCAGCCTGAGCAAGAGCGAGACCCCGTCTCTACTATAAATAGAAAGAAATTAATTGGCCAACTAATATATATAGAAAAAATTAGCCGGGCATGGTGGCGCATGCCTGTAGTCCCAGCTACTTGGGAGGCTGAGGCAGGAGGATTGCTTGAGCCCAGGAGTGTGAGGTTGCTGTGAGCTAGGCTGATGCCACAGCACTCACTGTAGCTTGGGCAACAAAGAGAGACTGTCTCAAAAAAAAAAAAAAAATGCAAATCAGAATTCAGGAAAACTCCAATGTCTAGATTCGCTCCTTACAGAAATCTTGAGCCCAGCAGTCAGAGAGGCATTTTAACACCCCAAACAGGACAGGCTCTCACTGGGGAAACAACCAAGGCCAAGTTGTGTGAGTAGATGAAGCTACGTTTACAAACAGTTCGGTACCCAGCACAAGTGGTCTCCGTGGCGATTGGGAAGCCGGTTGTCCCAGAGCGAACAATTTCACGGGTAATGCTTTAAATAGATGCGATGGCTGAACACTTTTTGTTAATGACACACAAACCAACACTTATTACAAGTCCTAGACGGATGTAACAGTATATAAGATATACAGCCACTGCTGGTTTGAAACTGGTAAAACTCTTCTTTGAGGTCCAAGGAGGCAGGTACAAAGCCCTTGCATTCACCGAATGGGATCCCGTGTTTACAACAGACTAGACTCCAAAGTCCCCAACAAACAGTGGCAGAACAAAACAGCCTTTTAATTTGCAAAAATATATGAAATTAAGTCCAATACTTTGAACAAAAAGGAATGTCCAATGAATGAATGCTTCATACTCCACACGTGACATTAGAATTCTGCATAATGTGTGTTTTTTGGTCCTTGAAATGGGGCTCTTGTTTCGAAGACGCCGCACATGTAATTAATAACAGCTTGAGACTGTTTCTATACCACCGTCTGAGCAACACTGCTAAATATGCATGGTCTTGAGTTTTGTCAAGTGAAAGAAAAACCGTACCATCAGGAATCTGGGGAGCAGCAATTTTTTTAAGACCATAATTTGGGGGTTAAATGACAACGTAAGCCACACCAAGATGACATTATTTCCCTGCACCTTCCAAAATGAAGCTGCATCACCAGGTAGGAAGGGGGGGAGGGGCTGAGGGGGTGGCAGCCGAATTCCTAGCATGTTACAATACCCGCCTTTTAGCATCCCACAAAGCATGTTTTGTTCAGAGAATGAATGAGGACAGCTTTCCTCTGTGCATTTTATTAAAACTTGAAAGCTGTGGCTTGCTGCCACCGATGACGCCTGTTGGGTTCCAATAGCCTCATGCTCAAATCCAACTTGTTAGCAATCCGCCCGACTCGACATCGGTCATCTTGACATTGCAGGACACTCGGCCAGTCTGAAGTTTTTGCCGGGAAGGATTTTTCTGCTGTTATGGAGCAGATAAAGGTTCTTTGTAGCAACGGCTGGAAACACAACATGACACCTTTCTTCACACCGTTAAGGATTTGATAAATAGTTCATCAAGTGAACCAAAGACTTTATTTCTTAAAAACAGATAACACCAAAGTACTATGTGGTATCCATATTCATTACAAAAAAATAATTACTGGAATTTTCAAAACATCAAACAGATAAGGCAAATCAATGGTTAATCATTTTCAACCAATATACAGATTTTTCGTTCGAGGTCTAAGTTTTCTTTCTACATAATATTATTCACAGGAGATCCCTGTGCCAATTTATCATCAAAACGGGGGCTCCGCAAGTCAGAGCCGGCTTTCTGTTCTGAGTTTCCAAGAAGCGAGGCAGCCGCCAGCTAGGCCTCTGGCTTGCTGCTTGTCCTGGAAGTCATGGCTTCCAAGGTCAGGCGACAAACTACGTCTCTGGAACACAAGGTCAGACTTTAGATTCCTTTGAAACAGTTCCGGTTTCCAAGCGTTCCAGCACCACGGCTGTAGGACGTGCTCAACCACGCCTTCCCTCCTCTTTCTAAAGCCGCCACCGGCAACCCAACACGACTCGGCTTTGGCGGTTCCTTTTCACAGAGGTTTTTAAGAACCACACGGACCCCAAGTAAAGGGAGTGAATGAAATTATCCACTTCTTTTTTTTTTTTTGAACAGAGTCTCATCTGTGCCAGCCTATGGAGTGCTGGGCGTCAGCCTAGCTCACCAGCAACCTCACACTCCCTGGCTCAAGCGATCCATCCTGCTCAAGCCTCCCGGAGTAGCTGGGACTACAGGCATGCGCCACCCATGCCCCGCTAATTTTTGGTCTATGTATTAGACTTGGCCAATTAGTATGTCTTTTCTAGGTTGATAGGTAGAGATGGGGTCGTGCGCTCTTGCTCGGCTGTTTCGAACTCGCTACCTGGGCAATTCGCCCGCTCGGCCTCACCAGAGTGCTAGGCTAGGATTACAGGCGTGAGCCACCGCGCCCGGCCCAACTTCTTTTACTGTTAACAACAAAAAAGTGAGAGTGCATTGGCAAGTGGGAAAACAATACCGATCGTATGGTCACAGAAGATGGTTTTATAAAGCCCTCCTTTCAAAATTATGTTTGAAGGCGTTTAATACTCAAAGGAGGGCATAAAAACTGTTACTACAATAAATCTACAGGGGAAAAAAGTCCCTTCATGTAAAGTGGTGCTAAGGGTCTGGCACAAGAACAGGGGAGGCAGACCGGTGATAAAACCCAGCCGGATTTTTCTAGCATGTGCTGATGACCTCACAGATATGTGTCTAGTGGGTGTGTTAATAGCCTCCCCTTGTACTCAAAAAAAAAAAAAAAAATTAAAAATTAAAGTGAGTATGTGTGCTAATGAAGTCTGCAATTACAGAATCTAAGAGCCAAGCCCATGAAGTCTATAAGGCAAGAGTCTGTCATCAGGGGTGGGGACAGGTGGATGGGTGGTAGGCACTACAGGCTGGTTTGGCCGCGTTCGGGGCGGAACGGCCTTACACATAAGGCAACCTGTGGCTTCCCCAGCGTGAGCCCACCAGAAAGGCCCACTGAGGCCGGAGAAGGAGCCAACCGACGGCAAACCGCAGGAAGGTATTCAGGTGGGACAACGACCACAGTTAGATGGGGTGACTCGGGGTCACGGGTAGGCAGGAGACCCCCGAACCAGCACTCGGGGAACGTCTTTCTTTGCATGTCCTGTACACGCCTCCAAGCAGCAATTTCTGGGGTTTGGAGGTTTGTTAGTTTTGTGACATTTTTCCCCCCAAAAAAAGACACGAGGGTGGGTGGGCCCCCTGGAGAGGCGAGAATGGCCGAGCAGAACCGCTAGCAGGGGCGGGGCTGGACGAGAGCCGGAAGGGACTTCCTGCGGCACCAGCTCCCCGCACGTCCGGCTGAGTCCTACAAGCGCTTGTAGGTGCCCAGGAGAGCTTTGCAGTTGGGACAGTAGTGGTCCACGTCCTGCAGGGCGTCCACGCAGAAGGGGATGAAGCAGCAGCCCGCCACGCACCTGGGAAGACAGAGTCACAGAGGGTGTTACTGACTGCGGCAGGATGCACGGTGGCCACCAAAAACATACGGCCACGTCCTGACCCCAGGAACCTACGAATGTGAGCTTTTTTTTTTTTTTTTTTAGACAGAGTCTCGCTCTGTTGCCCAGGCTAGAGTGAGTGCCGTGGTGTCAGCCTAGCTCACAGCACCTCACTCCTGGGCTCAAGCGATCTCCTGCTCAGCCTCCCAGTAGCTGGGACGAAGGCATGCCGCCACCATGCCCGGCTATTTTTTTATGTATTATTTTTTAGTTGGTCAATTAATTTCTTTCTATTTTTAGTAGAGACGGGGTCTCGCTCTTGCTCAGGCTGGTTTTGAACTCCTGACTTGGAGCAATCCGTGCCTCGCCTCCCAGAGTGCTAGGATTACCAAAGGGGGCGTGAGCACCGTGCCCGGCGCGAATGTGACCTTATTTGCAAAAATAAAGACACACTTAAGGATCTCAATATGGAATCACTCTGGATTGCCCAGGGGACCCCCTACACCCCGAGACTGGTACCCTAGGAGCAGCGGAAGGGACATGCAGAGGCACAGCGGGGAAGAAGGCCACGTGGAAACGGAGGCGGAGACCGCAGTGACGCCTCAAGACGCCAAGGAGGGCTCTCCCTAGAGCCTTTGGAGGGAGCGTGGCCCTGCCCACGTTCCCATTTTGGACGTCTGGCCTCCAGAACGGTGACAGAATAGATTTCCGCTGTCCTCAGCCACCAGGTTCGTGGTCATCTCTTACGGCAGCCCCAGGAAGGGAACACACCGACCCGATGCCACGGTCACCCCACAGACGCACTGTCCGGGGCGTGTTTTCAAATCCTGGGTCATCCGGGAGTTTTTCAAAGTCTTAGACTGGGGTGGGTGAAGGGTCAGACAATACCCACGTTAGCGGGGACAGGCATGGGGTCTCTGTCGCAACTGCGCCCACTCCGCCCGCGTGGTGAGAAAACGATCGTATAGAGTCCGTAAACACATGGACGTGACCCTGTCCCATAACACCCCAAAACATAACACCCCATGCTGATCTCTCTGCCATGCGGAAAGGCTGAGGCTGCTTCTCACGGCAACCAGAGTCCCCAGCTGCCACCAACGCCCCAGCCTACACACTCGGGCCCGCACACACACAGGCGGGAATGCGCACGGCCTCACAGCTCGCGCCCGCCAAAAGCCTACTTAAGATTCAGCGTCTTACGGGAAGGCGCTGATTTGCATCGAGTGGCATCTGGAGATATTCTGATGGGGAAACTATCTCTCGAAAGAAAAATTTCCTCTTAGTGCCTAAGCTGCCCGGGGTTCACATGGGGGCAGCCCGTCCATCGAGTGACGGTCCCCAACCGCAGCTCACAGCTGGTGTGGGCACAGCTCCAGGTGGCACCGCACACAGACCGATCTTATCCTCGGCAACCCTCTAAAGTGGGTGTTACCGCCCCCAGTGTATGCCTGGAGAGACCGAAGCACAGAGACGTGAAGTCACGTGCACAGGGTCACACAGCAAGTGAGAGAGGCAGGGTTTGAGCCGGCTCTACTACGTTTAAGGAAGGGACGAAAGAGGAACAGGAACAGAGAGTTTGCCAGAGAAGCAAACAGGCAACGTGGGTTTCTACTCTGCCTTTCCCTTGATTTCAAAGATAAAAATTAGTTTTAACACAAACGTCCAGAGACAATGAACTTTCATTTTCTGCCTGGACAATGAGAATGGCAGAGAGCGGCAGCCCTGCGGCCAAGACAGGAGTTAGGGGCCAAGAAAAGGGGTCCATCCCCCGCCCCCACTTAACGGGCAACCTTAAGAAGTTAACTGAGCTCTCTGGGGCTTTCAGCCTCTCTCTGAAGTTAGGAAGAGAAATACTGCTCCTTCCCAACCTCAGCTCACTGGCAAAGGAAACTCACAAATATCGTTTCCTTCAAAGAAAAAAAAAAAAAAGGGATGTTTCAGGGTTTTCTGAGTCACTCGCCTGGCCAGGAATAAGGACGCTACTTTTACCTGCCTGGGGAAAAAAAAAATTCAATTGCTTTTTTCTCCTAAAACAGAAACTATTCTCTCTTTAAATGCAACACCCATGGTGCAGACACAAATATTTACATCACTGCCCCACGTAGGTGAGGGCAAGGATCCTTGGGGTCGTAAAAGGGCACACTGTCTGGGAGAGACAACCGTGAAGACTTTTAATGTACAGATTGTTTTAAAGCTTCTCCCAGAGTCAGGCACACCTTCTTATTTCGGCCATGAAATTCTAGAAGGAAAAGGCATCCCTGGGGGTACCGCCCTGCACGGATGTACGCGGCTGGCACACCTGTCCCTGCAAGTTCTCCACTGGGGACGAGGTTTGCCCCACAGAGGCCATTTTTGGTGACAAAACTGGGGAGAGAGGTGTTCCCGGATCACGTGGGCGGGGGCCAGGGACGCTGCTCAACGCCCTGCCATGCACAGGACCGTCCCCCACGACAGAGCGGCACCTGACCCCAACGTCCGTCACGGTGCAGTTGAGGAACCCCGCCCCCCACTTAACCCCCCACCCCGCACCCCCCTTCCCATCCCATCCCCGGAGAGAGGGGCAGGCGGGCGCGGAGCCAGGCGGGCGGCAGACTCACCCCAGCAGGCACAGGCTCCCGCAGGACAGCGGCACCTGACCCCAACGTCCGTCACGGTGCAGTTGAGGAACCCCGCCCCCCACCTAACCCCCCACCCCGCACCCCCCTTCCCATCCCACCCCCGGAGAGAGGGGCAGGCGGGCGCGGAGCCAGGCGGGCAGCAGACTCACCCCAGCAGGCACAGGCTCCCGCAGGACAGCCAGGTCAGGGCGCCGGCGTTGTAGGACAGCTGGGTGACGATCATCTTGTTGCAGGAAGGACAGCACATCTGGACAGGGTGGTCGAAAAACGAGACGGGCTGCTGCACGTAGACCGTCTGCACGGCGACTGTCGGAAGGAAAGGGTTGGGCAGACGGCATTCATGAAACGGCAAAGAAGACGGGAATGCGACACCTGCCACAGCAGGGGGGAAATCTGAGGACGTGGTGTGGACTAAGCCAGTGCCAGAAGGGCACACACTGCAGGCCTCCTTTGCTGTGAGGTCCCCAGAGCAGTCAAATTCGGAGGCGGGAAGTAGAACCACGGGTGCCAGGGACTGGGGCAGGGGGAGGGGAGCTAGTGTTGAACGGGTCCAGACTTTCAGTTTGGGAGGATGGAAAAGGTTCTGGAGATGGATGGTGGTGCTGATGGCGGCACACAGTGTGAATGTACTTAATGCCACCAAACTGCACTTAAAGATAGCTGAAAGGGTGGAGTTTATGCCAGGCACGGTGGCTCACGCCTGTAATCCCAGCATTTTGGGAGGCCAAAAAGAGAGAGATACTCTGGAGGCCGAGGCGGGAGATCGCTCAAGGCCAGGAGTTCGAGACCAGCCTGAGCAAGAGTGAGACCCTGTCTCTACTATAAATAGATGAAAATTAATTGGCCAAACTAATAATATACAGAAAAATTAGCCGGGCATGGTGGCACATGCCTGTAGTCCCAGCTACTCGGAGGCTGAGGCAGAAGGATTGCTTGAGCCCAGGAAGTTGAGGTTGCTGTGAGAGGCTGATGCCAGGGCACTCACTCTAGCCTGGGCAACAAGGAGACCTGTCTCAAAAAAAAAAAAAAAAAGAATTCCATGCCACGGTGGCTCACGCCTGTAATCCCCAGCATTTTGGGGA